TATTTATTTATATGAGAGAGAGCACATGAGAGGGGGGAGGGTCAGAGGGAGAAGCAGACTCCCCGCCGAGCAGGGAGCCCGATGCGGGACTCGATCCCGGAACTCCAGGATCATGACCTGAGCCGAAGGCAGTAGCTCAACCAACTGAGCCACCCAGGCGCCCTAAATTCCTGTCTTTTGATCAAGAAAAAAGATCTGCTTTCCCCCAGCAGCCTGGGATTAGTGGGGAGGGTTTCTAGAACATCTGATACCAGCCCCGGGTTCTTGGAGGGCCCCCTAGCAAGGCCTGGCCGTTGTCTTGCCTCAGCCTCTGTAAAGGAAGGGGTTAGGATGGATGATCTAGGATCTCCCGTGATCTTCTGGCTTTGGGTTTAGAACGAGTGCAGGGTTCTCCATCCCTGATGTGAAGGGGATCACATCCAGCTGCTGAATCTGCCTCCTTGCCACATTCCTGGTTCTACTTTTCCTATTCATGGTGGCCAGGTTTGCATTTTAGTCCCTCAAACCGAGGAGGTGCTTCTTGCCCACCCCCAAGGGCTGCCAGCCTCTGAGGGTCCCGGTGTGGCGGGAACTGCTAGAGTGGGTTCCCTCGGTCCCTGGCCCTTGGACACTGAGCGGCTATCTGCCTGCCTGCCTTTCTAGAAAGGATTATTCAGCCTTTTTTTTTTTTTTTAACTTCCCCAGGCCAATCACAAAAAGAACCACATGGACTTAATTGAAGGTATCTGGAGAGAGGTACGTGACAAAATGAGCCAGCCACCACTCTCCTCATTTAGGGGTGGTGGATTCGTCCCTGAATCCAAGTCCCCAGAACCAGCCAGGGGCCAATCTTGCAAGTCGGCCTTTCCAAGGAGAGTGGTTTGGGGCCTGCTGTCTATGCTCTTTTCTGCAGGGAAAGACTGGAGTTACTGTATTTTAGAAGAGGCTTCACTTTGATATTTAAATTGATTTTTCCTTTTTCAAAAAACATTTTTTTAAAGATTTTATTTGGGGGAGAGAGAGAACACGTGCTGGAGGAGTGGGAGAGGGAGAAGCAGACTCCCCGCTGAGCAGGGAGCTCGATGTGGGACTCGATCCAGGGACTCCAGGATCATGACCTGAGCCAAAGGCAGTTGCTTAACCAAATGAGCCACCCGGGCGCCCCTCAGATTTTTTAAATAAGAAAAAGACTCAAAGTAGTTTGCCTGGAAAATTGACGAGACCATAAGTTTGCAATTATTTAAACTCAAAATTTAAACTCAAAATTAATTTATTATTTTTTAAAGAATCCATTTTATTTTTTAAAAAGACTTATTCATTTTTAGAGAGTGTGTGTGTGTGTGTGCACGCAAGCAGGTGGGGGGGCAGGGAGAGAGTCTCAAGCAGACTCCCTGCTGAGCACAGAGCTGGCACGAGGCTCGATCTCATGACCCTGAGATCATGATCTGAGCTGAAATCAAGAGTCAGATGCTCAACTAACTGAGCCTCCCAGGTGCCCCAAAATATTTTATTATT